ACACAAATTAGTTAGTGACGTGGATTGTCAAAATTATGATGTGGATTTAATAATTAAAATTTGTATCAATAGTAACAAAATTAAACAAGGGTGTTTATTGTAATTTACTAGGAGTCTAAAAACATTCTAGTAATTTTTAGAAAATATATACTATTCTAGTCATATACAAGGTTTTGTGTATCATTCTAGTAATTTTCTCAAATAAAAATACGTTTTATAAAACTTGATAAGTCGTTTTATAAAACTCGAGAAGTCTTATATAAAAATTGATAAGTCGTTTTATAAAACTCGAGAAGTCGTTTTATAAAACTTGATAAGTCGTTTTATAAACTCGAGAGGTCATTTTATAAAACTCGATAAGTCGTTTTATAAAACTCAAGAAGTCGTTTTATAAAACTCAATAAGTCGTTTTATAAAACTCGAGAAGTCGTTTTATAAAACTCGATAAGTCGTTTTATAAAACTCGATAAGTCGTTTTATAAAACTCGAGAAGTCGTTTTATAAAACTCGATAAGTCGTTTTATACAACTCGAGAGGTCGTTTTATAAAACTCGATAAGTCGTTTTATAAAACTCGTCGTTTTATAAAACTCGATAAGTCGTTTTATAAAACTCGAGAACTCGTTTTATAAAACTCGAGAAGTCGTTTTATAAAACTCGAGAAATTTTTTTATAAAATCAAAGGAAATTTCCAAACAAAGGAAACCCGCGGAAAACTTGGAAATCGTTATCCGCGGAAAATTTACACGATCGCCCGAGTTAAGCACAACGCATCCTCCATAAACTGCGAGCTGGTTCGGCCGAACTAGCTCGTCGTACGCTCACCGTACGGCGAGCTAGTCGCTCCTTGGATAGCTCGCCGTACGGCGAGCTGAACCGGTCCGGTTTTGCTCGTCGTACGTCGAGCTGATTATCCCGAGCGTCGATCTTCTATGTCCTCGATTCAAGGCATACGTCCTTCGGCACGATCATGTTCCGAACCACGGTCGAATGTCTCTCGTTTCGTCTCGATCCGTCCTATCGTTCGAGTTTTACGATAAAAACCGTAAAGTCTTGTTTTCTCGAAAGAACTTGAGGGAATCGTATAAAACGGCAACGATTAGACGAAACACCATACATTGCCTAAACTATAAGATTCACTCGAGATTTTTTGTGAGAAATCATAGAAAACGACAATGATTAACCGAAACATCGAATATTGCCAAACTTTGCGATTAACTCGAGAAACTTATTTAAAAACGGCATCGCATCAGGAAACGATCTCGTAAAAAGTCATAAAACGGTTTTATCGCAAAACGGCTCGAAGAGTCTTAAACGTGATAAAAGCCTATCTCGCGACTTTATAGGAGTCTAGCCCGAGGATACGATGACGTTTTAACGATTTACTCGCGGAAAGAAGATAAATGTCAAGTTTGAGGATAAATTGAAGATTTCTGCGGGAAAAAAGGAAAGATAGAGATAAATGGAAGAAACTCGAATCTGGGCGAAATGGAAGGACTAAACCGCCTAGGAAGGGAGTATATAAACAAGAGGCATAGGACAGAAGCAGAGGACGAAATTCAGAGCTCTCATCTGAGACTTTTACAACTTCTCTAGACTTAGAATTTTTCGTACTTAGATACTTAGGCTTTATTCTCGACAAGTTCGGCTTCTATAACTGGCGCTCAATTGCTGGATCGAACTCGCCCAGGCATTTCGATCTCTTGTCCAGATCTACCAACTGAACTACGTTCGACTTGATCCTCGAAAGGGGTACGTAGGCAGCCTTTCATAAGGTTGAGCCCGAAATCAATCAAACTCTCTTTTTCTTATCTTTTTTCGTCTTTTGTTATCGAGCTGCGACTCAACTAGGTTTAGGGTTTTATGTTGATAACTCGCTAACAGCCCCTGCGGCCGAAGCCTTTGTAATCTCTTGTAAAGATCGCAACGCTCTTACGCGAATTCGAAATAAGATCAACTTTCTTTATAAATTCGTTTTATCATGTTTTCATATTTTCCGCATTTATTTGGTTACTTGTCGTTGGCTTCCGCAGAGATCCGGGTCCTCTGGAAAATTAGGGTTTTCCTAAGTTTCCTTATTTTACGGGAATCGACGGTGTGAATTTCGGTTTCCACATTTCGGTTCCCACATCTGTCATTTGCTTTGTGTTTCAGAATTTCAAGCTCACGTCTTGATGATTGAATGTTGGAGCTTGAAGGTTGAAGGGTGAGCTGAAGGTTAGCGTTTGCAGTTTTATGTTTTAGTAATTTGGTTTTGATTTCAATGAATAAAGTATCTCATTTGTTGAGAGTTTGGTTTAATTATTCAGTTTCTCTGTTTCCTTTGTTTAAGAGAATCAAAATGTTCTTTGTTTTGTTTTCTTAAATCAATAAGATGGTGTTACTTTTGTTTGAAACTTTGAATCATGTTTGTGTTCTGCAATTTAGTTTAGCTTTAATATTCTGATTTGTTTAAACTTTGGTGCAAACTAGTACAAATTGAGAACCAAAGAACCGAAAATCCGATTAAATCAGAAACTGATGTAGCATCCGGTTCAACCAAATAACAAGCTAGGATACTAAATCCGAACCGAACCCGATACAACCCGAACCGAATCCGAACCAAAATTTTATAAACACTGAATGGGCCTGTTTCTATGGTATATAAAAACCGATACACGAATAGACCTAACTGAAACCCGAATGGGGGCCCATTGCCCAGGCCTAAACCAAATAAGCTAAACTATTAATTTCATTTAAATATTTTCTCAATTTTAATGTTTTCTTGAACTTTTCATTATTATTTTTGTTTCTCTAAATAATATATTTTTGAAAAATTCTCAATGATTTTTTTTGAACTTTATATAGAAAAACGCTCACGTTTTAGTGTTAACTTTGGCAAATAACTAAATAAAAGTACAATAAAAAGAAACACAATATCATAGTTTATAAGTGAGGACTAATCACATTGTCCAAAACATATCAATGTCACTCATAAATAACATATGAATCTATAATATAAAAACATAAACAATTAAATATATCGCCTTTTCAAGAATTAGAAATATATGATTATGAAAAACAAAAATCTGCGCGGGCACGCAGATCAAAATCTAGATTAAATTAACCCTTAAACTTGCACAATATTTACAATTCAATACCCTTGAAAACTAAATAACCTACATTTAAGTAATAATTGTCTTTTCCTATTTTATTAAATCATTTCCTAAATCAAAATTATCTAAATTTTTCTGATCAATATATTTCGTAAAATGATTTAGCTAAATTTTAGGAAAATTCAAATTTAAAAACGTTTTTAATTATATAATATAATATTTCTCAAGTATCATATAAAATTTCCACATTTAGTTTATAAAATATTAAATATGTATAATTTAAAAATTTTAAAATATATGTTTAACCATTACCATTAATTAATTTAAACAGTAAAATATATTTATGCTAAGATTTAACTATTTTGAATTACTTGTAGAGTAATATGCATTGTTTTTAATCGAATATTCATTTAAATATATCTAAATGTTTCCTAAAATATATATATTTCTAATATTTCTAAAATATATTTTTATTCATTCAGTTACTATTAATGATTTTTTCAAGAATAAATTTATCTATATAAAGTTTTAAATATCATAAAATTACTTTTAGAATAATGTTTAATGTTTATAATGGAATATTTCTTATCTGATGTATCTAAATCTCGACATATGACACATATCTAATCAAAATATTTAGAATATTATATTATTGGGGAAAAATTTCATGTTAAAAAGGATATTTACTCAAACATATCAATAGTTTAATGTTTGGCGAAAATTTAATATATCGCACGGGTCAATATTTTTTTATGTAAACTATTTCACTATAATATTTATAGAAAATTTTAAAATATGATAAATATTTAAAATATTAACTAATATATATTTAAATAATACTTTTATATATAAACGTGGAAATAAATACCCGTACGGGCATGCGGATCAGACTCAAGTTTTAACATTATTAATTAATCTTTTTGGCTATTCAATTATTCATTAATATATCTCGTTTGCAAATAAAAAAAAAATAGTTAATCATTTTGGTTAATAAATACATGTTTTGTTTTGGTTAGTTAATATTTGTTGCTTACAAAGTAAACTAAATAATAAGTGGTCGATCCATAACTAGTTTTCTCGAAACAACGGTGGTGGAGAAAGATGACTCCTTTTATAGATATCATCTGATATCACAACATAGAACACGTGTTTAATATTACAATTTACATGGTATGATCTGAGGCGAATTGGTTATTCTAACTCCAATAAAGAAGGAAATGAGTCGGTTGAGGTTTTTGGTAGTTGACAAGCCAAAAGATATTCGAGATATTGTGTTGATCTGATTTGGTAATATCCTTTATTGCTTACAAGATTTAGTTATATTTTTTTATACGAAATGTATAATATAGGAAATGATGACTTATAAGTTTGAACTAGCACAAGTTATTATATCAATATATAAATCAAAACCCTAGTTTCATTAGTGTGCTAAGCAGGTAAGGGCAGTAATGAATAAGGCGGAGAAGAGCGAGGAAGAGTTTAGATCTAGTGATTGGTCTAAACTTTCCCCTGATGTTTTGCGAAATATCTTTGAAACCTTGAGCCCTCTTGATTCTCACCGATCAAAACTCGTTTGCTCATATTGGTATTCCGTCTGGAAAACATGCGATAATCTGCCTCCCTGTCCCCTTCAGATCATACACATCGGTGGTTCTCCGATCTTGTCTGCACACCAAGACTACAGAAGAGAACCAGACGTAGAAGATTTACACAAGAACCCTCGCCGGATTATACACGAAGATGGTGGATCTTCGAGCTGGTCGGAAAATAGTCACTACCCGAGAAAACTCGCCGGAAAATTAAGCTGGAGCTCTTGTATGGCTAGCTACGGGAGTTGGCTCCTGATGGTTGGTGATCTTCGTGAACTCCATCTTTTAAACCTTACAACGTTTGAAAGGATCAATCTCCCAACAATGAAATTGCCAATACCTGATGATAGGTACCATCGACCCTGGGAAAAAGAAAAGGTGTCGAAACACGATCTCGAATGGAAAAACGCAGCTCTTCTGTGGATAGACGAGAGGACAGGTGATTATTTCATTGCTTGGGTTTTCAGACAGAGTTACTTGGTCTCACACATGAAAGGAGACGATTCATGGTCGAACTTGAACATCAAAGGAGGTTTCATGGATGCGGCTTACAGGAACAGTAGGCTTTATGTGTTGACAGCTGATAAGCACATCAATATTGTCGACTTCTCTTATAGGTTTCCTAGAAAGTTAATCAATCATAGGTATCCTCCTTTTCGCTTTGATGAGAAACCCTGGGAATACATTTGGAAGACGAGACTAGCTATTGATGAATCAGGAGAGGTTCTCATCATCTTGAGCTTAAAAGAAGTGAAGTACGAAGAGAAGCTTTTGTTTTACGTATTTAAGATGAATCATGAGAATTTCAAGTGGGAAAGAGTGTATTCTATTGGAGACAATGAGATGTTGATTTTTGGTCAAGGTGTTACGGTAAAAACACCGCTTAAAGATTGTTTTGGTCATGGAGTCGAGAGTGGTTCAATAAATTTCGTTGAAGATGATGTTTGGCCAGATCATGATGATGATCATGGTTCGGTCTGCGGTGTCTTCGATCTTGCTACAAGTAAAATCGAATGGTCTAAGAAAACATGTTATTACATAAGCAGAACTCAATGGTTTGTTCCTCGCGTTGCTTATTATTAGTCTTTTTGTTTAAGTAGTTTTCTTCAGTCTTAACGAACGAAGTGATTTTGTTTCTGGAGACCTCTTTACTTATTTGTTTTTTAGTTTTGATATTTGAATGGATTTAAGAATGATTTTTACTGAGGCAATTTGATATAGAGTTTATGTTTTTCTTTTATAACTAAACTAGGATAAGACATGTGTCTTGCGCAAGGTGAATATATGTAACTAAAATATAAAATTTTGGTGCTGATAAATTTAAATTTATATATGATTATTTTTATATGTATTTGAAATTTGGGAATTTTGGATTTTTTATATAATTATCTATACGTAGGATCATAAACAACTGTAATTAGAATTCTAGATCAAATCTTAGAATTTAATAGATCCGATTTCATATATTTTTCACTTTTCAGTGTTCGAGTGATGGAAAATAAACAGAGTGTCATTGGGCTTGATTGGTAGATTATTAGAAAATTCCCTAATGTTTTTTTAAGAAACAGTTGGTAAAATATTTGCATTTAAAATATGTAAATTTTCAAAACTAATTTAATATAATTTGTTTATTTGTCTAATAATATTAGAAAATTATATTTTTACTAATTAGATTTTTAAAATAATTTTATATAAAAATAAGTTAAATTTTCATTTATTTTAAAAACAATATTTTAAGTTTTTCAAATACAACTAAACAATTTAAAATTAATTATGGTCATGATTTAACATAACCATAATGATTTAAAAAATAAAGAATTTAAAAATTAACAAATTAAAAATTAACTCAGTTTTACATCATGATTTAACAATTTAAAAATTAATTATGGTTATAAGAAATTTACGTTCACGTGTCAATCCTATTTATCTTCAATTTTTTCTCTTGTTGTGTTTTTTATACTTTTGTTCTTACTCGATATGTGAAGTTTATTCTCATTTCGTTTGTTTGTTTTGACCTGAGATTTAGAAAATACTTAAGATTTAAAATAATTAAAGATATACATACTTAGGTTAAGATCTACAATTTATGCATAATAAATATTTTATATTTATTATTTATTTAATATTTTTATGCATATTATAAAATAATAAAATAATAAATATATATTTTAAATAACTAAGAAATCAGTTACTATTATGTAATAAATTGGCGTATGCAAATAAGTTTAACTATCACTCTTGTTTATTCGCAATTAGGGTAAATAAATCAAAATAATCAATCTTATATATTTTATATGATATATATTTAAATTTAAATGATATAAACATAGTAATATAGCACACTTTTAATATATATATTAATTAAATGAAGTTTCTACTCATATGATTTTATGATTATTTGTATATTTGTGTAACAAAACTTTACAACAACGCTTTTTTTTTTTAATGTGAGATGTTTAGTAGTTTCAATAATTTATAATCATTTTTAAAAAAATTACATATTTCAACATTAAAATATTAACTTTTAAATATGTTCAAGGCAAATATCAAAACATAAGTATGTATTTTCATACGATGTATAGTTTAATTAAAAGGATACGAAATATATATAAACTAAAATTATTTCTTCATATGGTCTTATAATCATTATATTTTAATATAGAAAAAAAATTAAAACCATGATCCTAAAAATTTATGTAAGACTTTTAACAGTTTTAGTAATTTATACTCATTTTGAAAAATTTGAAATACAACATACAGAAAAAAAATCTTGATTTTTATTATATGATTAATGTAAATTTGTAATTTATTTTAATAATAAAGAAATAAACAAAATGAGAAAAAAGTATATAGATTTTTATCAAATCTTTATTGTTTAAAATTATTAATTGTCATATATATGTTTTAATCACATTAGGTAATTCTGTAGGTATTATTTAAGGAAAGGATGCGAAACAATAAATATTTGATATATTCGACCAACTATAACCTACGAAATATTAAATTGCTAGAGAATATAACTTTTAGACTATACATTATATCACATGTTCTAGAATCCTTAGAATTTGAAATAGAAGCTAAAGAGTTATACCACATAGGATTGATGTTATTTTTTAATTCTTAGAAACTTAAGGTTACAACTTTTTAAATGGTTCTCAATTAATATATAGGGGATATATTTATTAAAGTGTAACAATCAATACATGTCGTATTACACAAGCAATTACTGTTGAAAACCCAACATGTTCTTCGCCTCTTTTTAAATCTTGGTGCCAAATCAACACTCACATGCGATGTTGGCACACAAAATTTCAAATGGACGTAGACGGCGGAGATCATAACGCAAAGACAAGACACTAAGCCATGAATGTTGAGGCTAACAAAATTAAAGTCTTTTGTGACTACACAAAATTCAAAGTCTTTTTTCTTTTTTTAGTAAAACCAATATATATTCAAAGTTCTGAGACCACTTGATGTAAAAAACATTGCCGCATGTCTGCTCAACTACACAAGTTCACAAAAGCACTAAGCTGGATTTAACTCAGATTCGGGAAGTAAACTATACTCTTTTTGTATGTATTTTATTTGTGCATTTGATTATTACAAAGTTCAATCTGATTAAGCAAATAAACAAACACTAGAGTTTCACCCGCACATTTGTGCGGGTATATTTTTTATTTTATAAATATATAACTAATATTTTTAAATATATGATTTATATTTTAGCTTTAACTATAATTATATCTAATAAGTAAATAAAGAAATACTTATTTTATAAAAAAATATTTAAATTTTTGGTAAGATCTTGTTAGATTTTTTCAACAGGTTTTGTTGTATTTAAATGCATTTATTATTAATATATTTCTTAATTATTAAGATATTTTAAAAATAATATATATTTGACTGGTTAATGTAACAATCAAATATGTCAAATTAAATAATTAATGACATGGTCCAATATAACTTCTAAATAGTAGATAAATTAGGTACTTCTCTTTTAATAGAGAAGATGAATTGCTATCTTCCGTAACGTCTCATTTTCTTTTATAGTGCGGAATTTAATACTCATTCCAAGGGACCATTAATACATGAATAACGGATAAAGCTCTTTTTGTTTCGTATGAATGCGAAGAATGGTTAATTTTTTAAAAATGCTACGGATGGCGCATGCGATAAAGAATTGGAAAATGTGTTTCGTATGAATGATAATGTGCACTCGAAGTCAAAGTGAAGAAAAAAAACAACCATAATCATCAGTGGGAACTCAATTTGTGGACCCTTTTGCTTTACATCATCGCTTTCAAATACGATTCTAACCAAAAAAATTAATACTAATTGATAAATAAATAATTTTTATAAATTCAATAGACTAATCTGGTCAACTATGAAAAAAACACATTTACCGATATAGAGTAGACTAGTTACTACACTATTTTAGCAGAGTTTGGAATGCCTCCTGACTATTAGTAAGAGGTGAATCAATCATTTGCTACAACCTACCATCTTAAACATATATGTCGAACCCAAACTCAGACTGACCAAAAAATGATAATTTAGTTTCTAAGAGAAATCGAACTCCAAACCAACATGAATACATGCTGAGACACATGAATCTATTTAAGACGTAAACTGAATAAACAATCATCAAGAAATAATATTGATACACAATGATGATATTTTAATATTCACATAATTATTAAATTTAAAAAATGGGAGAAGTCATATCCCATTACCTACCATCATTGTTGTAGTGACCAGTAGTTTTGTAACAATCTCTTCCCACATGAGCACTAGGTGGTCACCACCACAAACCTTTTCTCATGTGGTTCGCAGTGCCTGCCTTTGGACCAAACGAAAGAAGCACATGTTTGCGGCCGTATCCTTTATGTATTATTTTTGGCCACATTTTCGAAACATTTTCTGTGTCTACCTAGTGGTATAGTGTTCTTGTTTACACATACAGCAGAACATGAGTTCGAGTTGCCTTTAAGAATTTCAGCTATTTAGTTTTTTTCACTGTTTTTATTTTTCAAAAGTGGCCATTTTTCTCTCTTGTTTCCAGCCATCAAATTTCTAGAGCCGGCTCCGGGGACACATTTAAATGATCACTCACTCATTCTCATCTATTCAGTTAAGTTGTTACTTGCTTGTGCAATCGTCACATAGTCAGGTGTAACAATTACTTTGAAATGCCCAAATCCCGTAGACTTTGTAAGAAGACATATACATTCGACAATGAAATGATTTTTGGTGAACATGTTAAATTATGATACTTGAATAATTTTGAGCAATCAAATCACCACTATTAATTGTGTAAAGTTTCATTACAAGCGCAAGAGGTATTAGGGGTTGTTCACTGTCACCTTATATTTATGTCATCCTTAACAACGTGCTGTCCAAGATGTTAAATAAGGCAGCTGTAGAAGGTTCTTTTGGATACCACCCATAGTGTCATGCTGTCCGGCTTACATATTTAAGTTTTGCAGATGATATCCTAGTTTTTACGAATGGGACTGCTGACTCTCTACACGGTGTAATGCAGATAATGGGGCATTTTGCAAGTATCTCAGGTTTACATATAAATGCCGCCAAATCATCACTATATGCATCAGGAGTTGATACTTAAGAATTTGTGAGAAAGCTATCATCTATGGTATTGCAGTAGGCAGTCTCCATATCCGTTATTTGAGATTGCCTCTGACTACCAAGGCTTTGACTAAACAAGACTGTGAGTCCCTCATTGACAAAATCAGAACCTTGATGCTCTCATGGACTAACAACTAACAAGAGCCTCTCATTTGCAGGACGCCTGCAGTTAATTAAATATGTTGTTTCCAGCATTGTCAATTTCTGGAGTCAAGCATCTATACTCCCTATGACCTGTTTAGACACTATTAAGAACCTCTACAATGTTTTTTATGGTCTTGAAACCCACATCAATCCCATAAAGCAAAAGCGAAATGGGAAGATCTATGCTTTCCCAAATCTGAGGGGGGGGGGGTTAGGAATAAGACAGCTTCAAGATTCTGTTAGAGTCTTTGCGTTAAGTCTGATATGGCGCTTATTTACAATGGAGAGTTCTT